AAAATGACAAAAATATTCACCAAAATTAGAGAATTAAAGATAGCATTACAAAATGAACAAATCTGAGAGAGTTCCACATGTAGTACCTATATATGTAATATCAAAGCAATTGGACTTGCGGTTTTTAACAAGAAGTCAAAAATATCACTTTTTACTAAAAATGACAAAAATATTCACCAAAATTAAAGAACTAAGAATATCATTACAAAATGAACAAATCTGAGAGAGATCCACATGTTATGTAGTACCTATATATGTAATATCAAAGTAATTGGACTTGCGGTTTTTAATGAGAAGTCGAAAATATCACTTTTTACCAAAAATTACAAAAATATTCACCAAAATTAGAGAATTGATGATATGATCATGAAATGAACAAATCTGAGAAAGGTCTACCCAAGGTACATATACACCAAGTATCAAAGCATTCAGGCTTGTAGTTTTCAAGAAGAAGTTGAAAAAATAAAACAAAGACACAAACGCATATGATAAGCTCCGCTCGACAAAGTCGACAGCGGAGCTAAAAAAACATTACCGAACTAATTTTGTCTTCGATTTTGTCAACTGCAAAATTGGTGACAATGAGGTTGAAACTTGTTCTGCCCTCTTACGACAATATATTTAATTACTTTGTTTTTTTATTCAACACACAACGCGCATCACAAATTAATAAATTAGGGTTAGGGAAGATATGGAACACTGAATGTTGACAATCTATATTTTATTTCTACGTCGTACTCTACACCTAATCCATTAACCTAAAGTCAAGACGTGTAATTCAAAATTATCAAACTGTAACTTACCATGACGTCATAGTTTGTTTAGGCATGCATAACAAAACTCAACTCAGAAAATCAAGGAAGCATCCTCCCCCCCACAGAAAATAGTCAAAATGTATATTTTTGCTCATTATAAAGCATGTTGATGTTTGAAGGTATATTGCTTGTTTTAAAACAGAACAAGAATTAAATATTGTTTTATAAAAAAATAAACACATTTTATTACAATCTTATTTATGTACCATCAAAATAACTACAAAATCTTACAATTACATGCTTTCTGTCATAGAACATTTGCCGAAGTCTAAAGGACAAACTGAAAGAAAGTAAATTTATAAACATGTTAATGTTAGTTTCAAAAAATTGCAAGTAGTTTTATATTTAGTGTCGCATACAAATAAATAGACTGATAGTTTGGCTGCCTTAACTATTTTAGTTTGAATGTCTTCCTTGAAGAAATCTTTTTTAAAAACTACCAGCTCAAATACTTTGATACTATATATATTAACCTTCTTCAGATTTGTTCATTTCATGACAATATCTTTAATTCTCTATTTTTACCTAATATTTTAGTAATTTTTTGTGTAAAAAAGAAGAAGCTATTTTTGATTTCTGCTTGAAAACGACCAACTTGATTGCTTTGATATTCAGAAATTTTTTAAACAAAGGAACAGGGGCGCATTGCCCTCATACCATGGCCATGCACCCCCTTACCCTGGGAAGCATATCCTCTGGCAACCATAAAATTCTGATTGACCAGGGGTCACATGTGGCCAAAGTCCTTAACTGTGACCTGTCTGATAGTAATTTTGGCCCCATGGAAGCCAAATGAATGCTCCATTCTAACATAGAATTATCAAAAACTCCACACCCTAGTAGGGAGAACCCTATCTCCCCCACTTGGTGGCGCCTCTGAAAAAAACCTGAGAGAGATTGACAAGACACTCAATGAGAGTAGTCGTACACCCACCTGGTATGGATATCAGCACAAAATATACATTAGCTGCGTAAATTGCAGCTTCCTTTTGATAGATATCTGATTTATGTTTGTCCGCAGAATGAATAAAATAATACAGCAGAGCGATGAGTGATCGATGCGACAAGTCATTGTCACCTAAGGCTGTCCAGAATCCTGCAAAAGAATGAATGAATTAATTAAGCTGCAAAACTTGTAGAATGGTTGTCTCCCGAATAAAATGTCAGAGGATCGGGGCTAATTAACTTATTCATTATATAGTATACTTGAGATATATTTGTTGATAGAAATTTTTTAAACTTCATGTAATTGCAGTAATTATTCACAGGTTTTGAAGCTGTATTATCTGTTAAACTCGTTAACTCTTTAAAATGTGTAGTAAAATGAGCTATGAATTGAAATCAGCAGTTACAGCAGTTAAACGTGTTAATTGAAGTTGGTGTCGTTCAATAATGAACTCTGCACTCTGATTTTATCTGACGTTATGGATGTTGTCATCAGACATCTATTATGCAAAATAGTGAAGATAGAATTATTGTTATTGAAATATCTGCTTAATTTCATCTTTCACTTCAATTAGTCTTGCTTGGTTGCTCATGAGTTTAGTGATTATCACAATAAATTCTAGCAGAGTGTGTTGCGATGTTTATTTGTTACTTTCAGTATTTGAATGCAACTACACATGTAACAAATTTTTTAATAATGATTATCTGATCAGCAAATTTCACTTAGAAACCTATCGATAAAAAGTTCATCACATTTTTTGGGAGAAAAGGGGAATTGAAATAAATTTTGAATGAAATTGTATGCTCGTGATTGAATAATTATTCACTTTGTTCAAATCTGGAGTTCAATAAATCACCATTTCTATATTTTATCAAAATCCGACTTCATTTTGATGGGAAATCCATAAATTCAATTGCTAGTATAGAATGGCAATGTTCTTTGGAATAATGCAATGTTGCCCTCTGCTCTGCATACAATTATAAAATTATAAATTATTTGTAGACAGAACCTTACCTTGGGGAATGGATTCACGGCCACTTCTAGACCACGGCGTGAGTGCAGAGAGAACTTTTGCTAATTTATCTGTGAAGTTATTGTGCGATTTGATATCTTCTTCTAAATCTGGTGGTAAGGGTTCAATGTCGAGGAAATCAGTGTCCCACACACAGGCCACATAATCTAGAAGAGAAAGTCACTATTGGCATTAAGTCATTCACAAAATGACTGAAATGTGGTCAATGCAAAACTACTTCAAGAATGTGCCTGATTGGCTACCCAATCCTAACAATCTGACCAATCACAGAGCAGCTGTTTTTTTCCCAGGAGTTGAAATTTTGCCTTGTTTGTATGCTTTGACTCAACTACACAAATATGACCTACTGCTATGTGGTACGGCCTGTGATGCATGTTGTATTTCCATAGGAGCAAGTATTAAGGGTATTATTTCAAAACAATGATACAAAGCACAACCACATAAAAGTACAAATGAGACCAGGAAAACAGATACCATATGTTTGCTTTACTACAATCACATTTCGTCTATTACAGGTGTGTTTTTATAGGATAAATAAGTAAAATTATAAATAAGTCATATTATAAGGATTCAGTATACATCATATATAATTTTTTGTGAAACAGGAAAACTGCAAAATGTTTTTGAAAATGAGTCATTGATTTTAGATAAAATGCATTTCCAAAAGAACAAATGCGGTATCTGTTTCTCTGACTGAAAAGGAGGAATTTTTGTTCTGAAGAGTCAATGGATCAACCAGCACAAAACAAACACCAATTAAATTTCGAATAAAAAATGAGAGGAATTTTCACTGCATTTCACACCGAAAATACTGCAATCTGGATATTAGCGATATTAGTGTGAAGTAAGCAAAGCAGCCAATGTAACTATTTACTAATTTTTACCTAAAAAGAAATACAGACCAATCATATATATTCTGGTAGGTGAGCAAAAACAGATATGTATCATACAGCAGACGTCAAAAAAAAAGGGTAATCACACACAAAAAATGTTATCTGTTATGAGTTGTACTTTCAATGCCTAGCCATTACCATTTCCATAAGGGATGCCAGGTGTCAAATGCAAAAACATTGTACGAAACTACTGATTGAAATTAACACATCACTGGGGATGCTCATTTTTCTCCCATTTATTCTGGCTATTCGTGGATGCTTCCAGCAAGCAATCTGTTAACACTCATTTGCATAGTTGACATTTCACTCAATGGTTTAATTGAGGTACTCCAATTTGGAATGTTTAGATTGTGTTCAAATAATAATTCACTAGTCACATAGAACATAATTCTTCTGCTAAAAATCTGATTTAACTAAGCCCAAAACAGTATCATGTATGACTTTGTGACAATCTTTGACAATAAATGATACTTTTTTAGTTTAACTATTAGTCTATTAGTGTACACATTTAACGTATATAAGTATTCCAACCTGTATCGTAAACATTGACATGATGGTCAATATTTATTGCACACTACAATTTATTACAATTTGCTAAAATTGCATGTCGCTTTTTCCACATGTTTTACAATATTTTTTCTTTTGGGCATGAATATCGCAAACGATTGTTTGAAAAAATGATGTACCATATATGCCATCTAATGTTTTAATAATCAATTATTTTTACAAATTTGTTCCAGTTAAATTATAGCAGTGTTCTCCCCAAGCACTGCGGGCCCGCGTCGCTTAGACAAATAGCCGCGTCGTTCTCGTTTCGCCCGCGATTCTTGAAATCCTGTCCGCGATGCTTAAGTTGTTGTATTGTTTACAAGTGTCAGCCTCGTCTCGCACATGTTTAAAACAATAACATGTATTGATCAAAAGGTAATCCTGTCTTTGTTACCCTTACAAAAACAGTGATAAAACGGAAGTCTACAGGAAGTCTGTCAAGGGGATCGGGGCCTGCAAAGTAATAATTTGCCCATTGCGCTGGGAAGATCTATCTTGATTTGCTGCACTGTGGTTAATTGCAGTTTTTACTACTCCATCACCGATGACACTAATTATCAAGAAATAAAAAAAAAACAAGTGAAATTAAGCGACATTGAGAAAAAAAAACGAAAATAAATCGAAGCAAAAATTATTCAACTGCAGACAAGAGGGCCGAAGAAAAAACAAACCCTGACCTCTAGAAATACCTCATTCATTGAATGCCTCATTACCGAGGAACGCCACTGAAACGACGTAACGCGTGGTGTGACATGCTGGGTTACAAGGGGGATTCCGATCGAGGCAACAAAGATGGCGGCGCAGAGTGCATGTTTTTCCGCGATGTTTAAAAACAACATCTCGTTGGCGATTTTGATATAATTTCTAAGATAATCGTAATTGAATCGTTTTAATTAACAAAACATTCTAAATTTGTGTATTTTTAAACCAAAAAGTCAGGGACCGATGATCGCAACAGCAGCAGAGAATACCCGTGGTGATCGTAGCGTTACGCACAAGGTATAGATAGATCAATGGAAAAACGCTGACATGAGTTTTGAAATACCGTTGTAGAAAATAAATTTCATTATTGATTTATTATTTTCTAAGTCATATTTTGATAACCCGCAATCTGGCAGACTTTACAAATTTAACCAAAAAACTGTTTTTCCCCTCGTCATATGAACTGACAGTGGTGACATGGGCATTAAAACGAACTGTACTTGTTGTACACAAAACAATGATGAAACATTTACTACTATGGATAACAATATATTCATAACAATACATTTTTTGCTGTTCTATTGCAAACTTTTGACTTGATGCACACATAAAATACAATGAAGTGATATAAAATGATATAAAATATATGAGCTATAAAAATATCTCTTTATTGTAGTTACTGTATCACAATGTTTGTTGGAGAAACTAATTATTATGCAAATTAAATTATGCAAATTAGATGTTTTGTTATGCAAATTACCCATGATGCTTGGCATGGAGTCTGGGGAGAACACTGTTATAGTATTCAAAAACAATTTTCAAAAACTAATTATTCAAAAGTGGTTGAAATTTTATAGTTTTTATGGTAGCATTTAAGCATCCCATTAACTTTGAAACAAATATGATGAATTTTCGTCACTACTTCTTTGAAAAAATAAACACCTGCTGTCGTTTTAGTGATTCATTTTATTAAAATGTAAAAATAAAAATTCCTATGGCGTTTGGAGATACAATGCCCTGAGTGCAGTGAAAGAAAAAGCAGCCTGGATACATCGCATCACAAGCAAAAATAACTTCCATGCTACGTAGGTATCAGAATGCAGCCATAGAGTTCTGTTATTATTACATATGTTCTCAGACATTATAAAAATAACCAGGAAAGTTGTGCAAGGGTTGTGACCTACGTTATGTTCAGTGATTGGATAACCTGGCAGTCCATTCATATACAAATATTTGCAGACACATGCTTCCCAGGTTGGTCGGCATGTCACAACTATCGCAAACTTACAAGATTCCAACCTCTTTTATTTTCTGATGTTTTATAATACTGGTATTCATGATAAAATATTTTCACTGCAAAACAAAATTATATTTTGTTTTGCTTATTTGCATATCAACAGTGGAAATGCTGATCATATTTTCAAGAGTGCTAAAAATCAAACTGCAGTACATATGTAATAATAAAATCTTAATTACACAACTGTACCATCATAGGATACAGTATGGTAAAACAACAAGAATTACATAGCACTGTAACTCAGAAAGAACTGCAAGTTTAAAATAACAGGAAAATACAATTTCTCCCCCTTTCCTCATTCATATACCGGTATTATATTCCTTCAAAAAGATTGCCAGTTGAATTTCTATATCTGTAATATTAACAATTTAATTAATATCTGTAATTTGACATTTGAGCAACTTCATTAAGGTCACGTTTTTTAAATACATTTCTTCACTCATATTCGAAAGGGGTGCATTCTAAAATAAAATGCAGTTCATCTTCAATCTAATTTTCTCTTAACTACGGTCACTGAGCATAAACTTAGGCACCATTTGGCAAAGGCTGAAATTCTTTATTTTATTCAAATAATTTTCAATTGTTTTTTTCAATGATATTGTGTGTTCTTTATAGCTTATTCCCCTCAGCATCAACACTACTTGTTCTTGTAAGGATGTTATATCCTTTTTTTTTTGATAATCATGGGTTATAATATAGGATTTCAAAACATTTATTAAATGTTATTTGCATTTCCATTCCTATTTTCAGCAATTCATGGAAACTGTCATTGTATTAGGTGTGAATTGGCCTCCTTCCCTGACAAAGGCGCATTGCGAGTATGGGCAAAGCATTGTCACGTGATCAGTACGCAGCCGGCCACTATTTTTGACATCGTCAGTGTTGTGTATTTTTTTTAC